ATATATAACCCCCCCCAAAAAAAAACCATCAAAATCAACCTCCTTATCACAGGTCAACAATGAAAAGTTAAAATTCTGATTAGGAAACTTCCTTGAAGCTCAGAAATTGGGAGCCTCTAGTTAAGACATCCATTCATACCAGAGGCTAATTCTCACTTCTTGTGCCTGAAATAAAACTGTGACGATGACATGAAACTTCAAAGACCTTTAACTCAGACAAGTCAGAGATGACGTCATCTGTCAAATGAAAGAGCCAACATACCAGACTATGTGAAGGAGAAACACTCAAGGCATATTTTTATAGTGCTTTATCTTTCATTCTCTGTGTTCACTTCCTTCAATTTGGGCACACCAAAAGATCACCTAGGCTAATCCCCTTAATTAAATAAACAATTCCAAAAGATATCTGGCTCTACCAAACATCCTTTGAAAGCATGGGAAGGAAGTGTCATGATAGTTTAGTTACTTAGGATCTGATTTGCAGATTTTTACAACAATTTTTAAAGTTCTGACCGTCTAGCTCTTCCTTTGAATATGAACTTTTATAGCTCTTATATTAAAGCCCAAGGTACTGTTAATTTGCTTCTATAAATGCAAACTCAGGATATAAAAGGGTTAGTGAATCTTTCATGCAAGAGAAGTTTTTTGGTTTTCAATTAATCATCTTAAATACAATGAAAACTCCCTAAAGCAGATTAACAGTTAATAATTTAGGTTTGAAAACTAAGAAATGTGAATGTTAAAATAACCCTGACACTGTTTCGCCTAGGCATACTTTCCAAACTTTATTCTATGACCAAAATATGCAGAAAGTCAAAAAAAGCAAATATATAATAAAAACTGTAACTCCTCCAAAACCTTCTCTACTAGACAGTAAGAAAAAATGGAAATGAATATACCATATTTACATTTCTATCCTTTCATAATGCTAATTTGGATAAAAATCATTCATTACTATGAGACAAGTAAATGACAGGCTAGGAAAAGGTCCACGCTTTTGAATTCTTCCTGAGATTCAGGACATTACTCCTTATCCCCACTGTACAGATAAGGAAATGAATGCTCAGAGTTAAGTACCTGCCCAAACCACAAAAAGTGGAAGTGGCAACTGAGCTTGCTACCACGCTGCCTGTCCCTGTTGTAGCCAAGTGTCCTGGTTACAGCTTGCATGCAACATCTGCATGCAACTTTTATGCAAACACAAATCCAAAATTTCACTGCTTTTCTTACTAATGTGTTGACAGAGAGAAATAAGAAGAGTGAGCTTTCAATCTCAAGCTGGAGTCCTCCAAGTAACCAAGGTCAGGGATGGAGATTGCAAGGCTACAAATTTCAGGTTCACAATTACCGTGAACAAAAACACTAGGCTCACCATGCATAGGGCAAAAGTCAGTAAGAAAGAAAAAAAATTCTTAAAAGTAGAAACTAGCTGAATAAGAGAAATATTTATACAAAAAGATTTCTTAGCACGGCATTATTTCTGCCTCTAAAATATTATTAAGCTACAGAAGAATCAATGTAATTTCCCAGAAAGAAAAAGAAAGTATAAGAGAAATCAAGAGACCAAAGGTTTCAACATGCTAACTAGAGAACAAAGAAAATGGGTACAGGAAAATAATGGAATAAAGTTTTCCAGAGCTAAATTAAAATTAAGCTTATAAAATAATAAGGACCTATTACAAGTAGGATATACAATATCCTAGACCCATCATTATACGATTCTAGAAAACTAAGATTAAAAAGAAAATTTCCAAAAGTGCGCAGAGAAAAAACAAAAGTAACTAAAATAAAATAACCAGGACTGTCAATATTAAGGGATGCTAAAAACAATATAAAATTTTTGAAGTTGTAAAGAAATGCATTAAACCAGTATCCTATAATCTATACTTAGTCCAATTAGCAATGAAGTGTACTGATTTGTTATTTTTTGGCACAAAGTACTCAGAAAGGTAAAGTATGTCCTGAAATGTTTTCTGAATAAGTTAAAGATGTTCTCAACAAAATGACCCCCCCAAAAAAAAGGAGGCGGGGAAAGGTAAACATATGATCCAGAAGGAAATTGAATCTAAAACCAGGCAAACTGCCAGGATGTCAGCAGTACAGAATGTCAGAGGAAGATAAAACTCCAGAAAATACAGCAGCTCGAACAGATATGACTTGATATCTTCAGAAAGTTTGAGGATACGCTGAGAGCATTTTTGTTTTTAGTCAACAAGGAAAATGAAGCACTTCTTAGGGGCAAAATTGTACAAGAAAAAGAGAGATTGAAATACGCAGCAAATTAAAATGTGGATTGTTTTGAGCAACTGATGGCATTTTGAGGGGGAAAAAACAATAGAAGTGTACTTGCAAAGGTAAGAAAATAAAATTACAGCATACTACCTAATATCTCGGGCCATTTTAATAGTGCCAGGTCTCTTGGTCACACCATCCCTTCTGCCTGCTTTATTACTGTTCTCTTAGCATCTCTTATTACCTAGCAAAATTATCACACACATTACTTCACTGATTCTAATATCTGTATCTTCTAATCTTTTAATCCCTCTGAAACTGGCATGCATTTTTACCATCTATTCAAAGCATCTTACAACAACAGTCAGCCAGGTGGCAGTCTCGTTACTGTGTGAAAAATCTTCACTGGCTACCTTCTGGAAAGCACCCAAAATCAAAAGGCTTCTAACCAGATGAAATGTGTATTTATTCATTATCTCCCCCAATGTACTATAAGAACATAATGGGCAGTGATTTTCTCTTCAAGTCTCTCTATGTCCTATCAGTGACTAGCATGTAACAGATACTTAGTGCCACATTTAACATCTCTGAAACCAGAACAGGCTCACAAGATGTAACAGTCAATTTTCAATCCTCCGCCTTACCCCCCCTCCAATATAATGGAGAGTGAGACAAGCATGTCAGTAAATAACCCAAATCAAAAGGTGATTCCAAAGAAACAGATATATAAGATTATTTTTGAGTTATGAAACGATACCAAAAAATATAAACATAAAAAGCTAAATGTGATCAACAGACCATAAACCTGTTTTTACTTTTCTCTGTAAGCTAGTGTATACTATTTTACTTTTACTAAGCGCACACAAGTTTTTTAATAAACCATTTTTAGGTAGAGACTCGCTTAAAAGTCACAGAAGGTTGAGACTCTTCAAGAACACACACACACACACACACACACACACACCCCGAGTGATAAACAAGTTAGAACAGGGTGCTTTCAGAAATTTCTAATGACAATAGGGATGGAAACCATAACTTCTGGATGCAAGTATAGCAAATTCTAAAGGGTGACACGAACACCAGTTGCCTAATACGACAAATACGCCATTTTGCTCATCAAAAAATCAAGGTAGCTGAGCTAAGTCTGGAGAGTTTACCCTTGACCCTGGACTGAAACTCTCTCTTATGTAGAATAATGTATTGCAAGCACTTCATTACAACGCTCCACATTTATCCAACACTGTCACCTGCCCTGACTTGTCAGCCGGGCAGACACGGTGAATGAGTGGGCATCTCCATTACCGGAGAAGTGAACTATCCTATATTATGGAGTTGAAAAGGCTCGGAGGAAAGGAACTGCTGCCTGAGAGACGGGATAGGCAGTCCGCGGAATGCAGAAATAGGAGGCCGTGACAAGAAAAATCCACTCTTTTGAAATTCTATGCAGAATTTACAGAAGCACCCAAACAGCCTCAGTCTCGCAGAACGTCAGCACATGTTTCCTCCTAGAAAGCGAAGGCGCCAACAAACCTACCGAGAGAGCCTTGGACCGGCAGAGGCGCGCAGATCTGACCCCACCCCTCCTTCCTAGCTTAAGACAGACGCAGAACCACGGTAAAATGTCACTGGGCCAAGAATGAGCGCGCCAAAGAGGGAACCACCCCCGGGAGACCCGGACGCTGGAGACAGGTCCCTCCCCTTCCTCCTTCGAGCCCGCGCAGAGCTCATTCATTCTTGAGGAGCAGCCTGTCCTCCCAGGACCGCCATCCCGGCACCGCAAATCCCAAACGCTTTGTCTCCGGCCCGGCCGGAAACCGGGGCGCGCATTCGAGCGCGCGCCCGGGAGCCTACTCTCCGCACCTGGGGTCCGCCCGGCTGCTGCTCCAGGGCTTAGCGCCAGAGAACCCCGCTAGATTCCGGGGACCCAGGCCCAAATCGGGGCGCTCTCCCTCCGCGGCCTCAGGCGTACACTTCGCCGGGTCCTGCAGGGCATCTAGCATCGTCAGTGCGTGCCTCGATCCCACGAGTGCCACAACTCGAGCCTCCACCCCCCTAAGACTCCAGTAAAAAACACTACTCTAGCTCAAAACGCTACATTCTCCTTTCCGTCGACGGAAACCCAGTCGCTTCCGAAGGGCAGCGGCACCGCGGTCCTCCCTCACTCCCCCGGGCAGAACCCTAAGCTGCGCCCCCCAACACGGCTGTACAGCAAGCACACTCACTTGAGTAACAGCTGGTCGTGCTCGGCCTTGAACTTGCCCAGCTCGATCTGCAGCTTGGCGCGCTCGCGGGCCGTGTCGTCCAGCGCGCGTCGCGCATCGGCCAGCTCGGTCTCGTAGAGCGCCTTGAGGCCGGTGAGCTCGCGGCCACGCACCTCCTCTCGTTCCGTCACCTGCAGCTGCAACGCACTGTTTTCCGTCTCCAGGCTGCGCACCTTGTCGATATACACAGCCAGCCGGTCGTTGAGTTCGCGCAGCTCCTCCTTCTCCTGCAGCCGCGACAGCCGCGTGGGGCTCAGCGGCGTGGCGGGAGCGCTGGCGCGGCTGCCGGACCGCGGCTGCATGGGGGTCGCGGTCGCCATGGCGGGCGGCGGGACGATCGGCAGGGAAAGCGGGGTTCAGGAGGCCGCGCGCTGAACCGGGATAAGCGAGGGTCCCGAGGAGGCTGCAGGAAGCAAAGCAGGGACGAAGGCACAAACCCGCGACCCGCGCTCGCGTAGAGGCCAGGGGGGGGGGGGGGGGGGGGGGAGGAAGCAGCACCGGGGATGGCGCGAGCGGGGTTACCACACAAAGGGCAAAGGGGGAGGGCTGCGAATCAATCACTCGTAAAATGCCCTTTGTAAGAATACACGCGCATGCACATACGCGCACGCACACACACACACACACAAACACACACTAGGGACGACACGGGGTGAGGATGACCGGGAGGGCCGAGCAGGGTCCGCGCGCCGCCGCCGAGTCTCCCGCCCGCAGCACTTTGTTTCCCCGCAGGCGGAGCGGAGCGGCGGGCGGGGGGGAAGAGCTGGCGAGGGGCGGGCTGCAGGCAAGCCGTGGGGGGCGGAGGTGGCGCGGCCGCGGCGCCGCACTCCCCAACATGGCGGCGCGCGCCCACGTGACCTCCCCTGGCCAATGGGGAGCCGGAGGCGCGCTCGGCACCTCTGGGTCGGGCCTGAAAATTCAAAATCGCGCCCTCCGGCAACCGTCGGCTGGCTCGCCGGGCTGGGCGTGGCCGGGGCTGGACTGAGGGCGGCCGGGTGGAGCGCTGGGGAACTGCACACCCTGTGGCCTAAGGCCCAGCGCCTGCCTGGCCCTCCCAGCAGCCCGAGGGGACCCCCGGAGGGGCCGAGCCGGCCGGTGGCGGGAAGGAGCCGGGAGGTTTCCGGGGCGGATCCGCGCCGCGGCCCACACCCGGCGGGTCAGGGAAATTCAAAAGTAAACGTCCTTGCTAACAGCCGCACGCCCGGTTCCCGGGGCCAAGACAGCCGCTGGCGTTGAAACCCTATCCCCGCCTCACGGAAAGGGCTCGGAAAAACGCCCCAAGGCCGGGCTGCCCGGAGTTACGTAATGGGCCAAGGTGTCCGAGGTTCAAAATCCAGTGCGGACTGGTTCTAAAATCGTTATTTTTTCCCTCAGATGGAAACGAAGTTTCAGAGCACCTCCCCATCAAATTGTACGCTAGTCCTGAAGCCGATTGATATATACCACAGAAAAACCGGAAACCTTGATTTTAAATCTTTTGCTATCAATGGGCGGCCCCTGACCTTTTGTTTCATAACAATTTAGGGCTTTCTAACATCAAAAACGTCTCAAGTGATAGGATTAACATATGACCGAATAAATAACACAAGCTGTTAATTGTCATGCTTCCTAAAATTTCATGCATGAAAACCTGAGCCTGTGAAAACGTAGATAGAAGTGATTTTTTGCTTTAAAAAGTGATTTCCCCTAATATGTAACTAACAGCTAGTTATACTAAACTGTCCATTAATTCCTTTGAAGAGTTTTTTTTTTAATTTTTTAAGCAAACGTTTACCTGAGTTTACAACATGCCCTACACTGAACTTTTCGTGAACGATCTGTCCTCACAGCCCAAGGACTTGGGAACTGGATTATTTCCTTACTACCTCCCAGCAGGCGACCGAATTTAATTTGAATCCAGGAGGTTCAACTGACTAGAGCCCCACGTTTTTAACCATAATCTAGAAGGCCACCTCAGGACCTAGTACATCTGTAGCATAATTACGGGTTGGTTACTTTAATTATGGTAGAGATGAACATCAGGATGTTCCTTAAATATTAATCAAGCCAGGCACATAAGAATTATTTCTGTGCACTCTATAAATAATGATACTCTCAATAATGACTCTATTTCCTGTCCTGATACCTAAAATATTTCCTTCTAAACCTCGTTGAGAATTAAAGAGTTGAAAGGCTTCTAGTTTAAAGTTGGTGATAGCAACTTTTAAGTCTAAGTATCCTGTTATAATTTCTCCTTTTTTTAAGATTTATTTATTGATGCATACAAGAGCTGGGGTGCTGGTCAGAGGTGGGGGTTGGTGGTGAGAAGATTCACCAGAGATAGAGTGGGGAGCAGAACAGGCAGATTGACTTAAATACACTGCTGAGGGTGTTACAGGGCCGGGAAAGGGACACCCCTGAACCGGGCTGGTCAGGAGAGGTCTGCTGTGCCATATGGATTGGCTCCTTGTCCAGGGGTGTAACTTGTGCTGCCTTGTGTTGTGAGTGACAAAGTGTGGGAGATTTACTGAGGGACTGGATAAGGGCAGTTATAAATTAGGCCTTGCATCCAAGGGTGATAAGGCGGTAATAAACTGGGGTTTGCATCCAATTAATGGGGGATGGGACTAGATGAAGGTGATAACTAACTGGGCCTTACTATCAAGGGACATAGCCATGAGTCACGTTTTTGGAATTTGAGTTTAGAATCTATATAAGAGACCTTTCCCCCCTAGAAGGCTGGCAGTAGCTGCGGACCCCACTCTAGGGGCTCTGTCTCAGTCTCAGTTGCCCTATGGCAGCAATAAACCCTGCTTGCTCAGCCTTTCTGCCTCCTGCCTTCTTTTCTTGCTGCCGGTCACAGAAGTTGGGACAAAACACCTTGACTGTGAAAGCTCCATAGTGGTGAGACTTAACCCTTTGCACCTACCAGGGAGCACACACACTCCCCCACCCCCTCTTTATTTTCAATAATTTAAAGGTATCTGGAAAATCCTGATTACTAATGAACAAGTGTGGCCTAAAGTGGGGGCTGGGTTCAAGGCGGTGGAATCAAGACTGGAATGTAAATCCTCCAGTTTGATTTTCATTCCACATTCCCCTTTACCTCAGAGTTTTAAAAAATATTTGGAATTTTTCTTTTAAAATTATCTTCTTATCTTCTGACTCTTTTTAGGAGCTCACATTGTATCTTATCTGAAACACAAAAAGGAATGAGACATTGGAGGATTTGCTACTGATAGTCATTTAACTTTATAGAAGCTATTCCATGGTTTTCTCATAATAAAATAGGGGCTCATTTGCACTTTGTAAGAGGTTCATAACGATTAAATAATACATAATATGTGTTTGACATATAATATGTGGTGGCTAAATAAGTAATTCTCACTGTCCCCAATCAAACCAATAGGGGAAAAGTCTCTTCTTATAATCTAAATAATTACACAATTTTGCAAATCTTTGTTCAGCTCCTGTACCAAGTATACGCTTCCATTTTTTCCTTGCCTAACTCCAAACCTTGAGTAAGGTCTATTCTTTCTTGCTCTTTCAAACTACATTTGCCCAGTCCTTTTCATTTAAATAATTCCTGAAGCACCATTTTCCCAAAGAATCTGAAAAGAAGTAACAAGTACTGTGTAAATCCAGTTACAAGACTTCTACATTTACAAGGGCAACTACCAGTTCAAATAATCTACCTTTTTCCTAATAAATCTTCGCTTCTTGTCAGGGCTCATATATACAAGGTTAGACTGGATACATGTCCCTACCAAACCTCAATTTGTCACACCAATATTCCTCCCACAACACATAGCTACTTCACAAAATAGAGAATGATTTGATATTTGCCCTATTTTCTGAATGTCATTTGGACATGCAGCAGAAAAATTCAGATATAGAAAGAAGGGGCCCAGGCTAGGTGGAGTGGGGAGACAGGAAGAGGGGCAAGAGAGACTGAAATCTAGCAATAACTCACTCATGTCCCTAGAGAGCGGAGTGACAGCTGGCAGGGACTGAGTATACAGTACAAATAAATGGAATAGCTAGAGCTTCAGCAGAAATTGAAGAAAAATATTGCCAAGTGATAGCTCTTCAATACATTTACTAAAAACATAAGTGAAGAAACAGTTATTACATGATCTTCAAATAGACTGTGTTGTCTGTACTTAATATAATTTGCAAATGTAATACTTTTTTCATTCCTCATAAAAGTATAAGTATAAATCAAGTTTTAGAAGGTCGAAAGACTATCCAGAATCTTTTTTTTATTTCTGATTTGGATTTTTGTATTTTAAAAATAGCTTAAGGTTTTAAAGACACATTTCTCGTCTTCAATAAAATTGTTCTCAGCATAGCTACCTAAAATTATTTTAGGTGTTTAGTTTAAATTAGTTTAGTTAGTTTAGTTTAAAATTAGTTTAGGTGTTCAGAATTATTTTCCAAGTCATCTCTAAGCTCTGATATGTGCAGTTCTTTTTCTGTCTCCTTTTCCTAAAAAAGCTGTCCTTTTAAAGTTGTAGGAGGTGGGGCAAATATATGATATTGTCAAATTTTTAACTCATTTCATTTCACTGATAGCTGATACTTTAATCAAAATGAGAAAGTAGTTTTCACACTGGTATTTTAGTTTTATTTTATGCTAAAAGATGTTCACAATACTAAAGTACTTTAAATTTTTTAATATAAATATGACATAGACTGATGTGTCAAGTGTACACATAATTCAGGTATTTCAGTGCTCACTGAAATTGACCCTTCTCCAAGTGGTAAGGGCTTATTTTCAAGATCAGTCTATATTCAGCCACTTCATTTATCTGGGTATATGACTTATCCTCACCCAGCAATGTATATTTGTATTTACATCCTGCTGGATCAGTTCTATGGAGAACCCTGACAAATGAACATTCTCTAAGCTAATAAGAAGGATATGGAAGGTTAAGGACACTGCAGACTGGCTTGTGTGTACTGGCCACTTCAGGCGTGGCAGAATGCTACACAACTCAGCAGAAGCACTGAAAGATTGACAGACATCAACATAACTGGCAGCCACAAGTCCCAGCTGAAGAAGGCCAACACAGAATGAAGACAGCAAATCCAAAAAACACATGCCTATAGTTGTACAAAAACTCATTGGATTATAGATCAGAGACATTCTGTAGGGGAGGAGGAGGGAGAAGGACCAGGACAGGGGTGGGAAGAGCACAAGGGTCTACAGTGATGGTGCTCGTGCACAGGTGACTTGGTGGTGGGAATTTCACAGGGAAATTATACATTGTACAAAAATGAAGGATGATATAAAAAATATATTTTTTAAAAATTAAAAAATTTGTTGGCCTTGTAATCAGTCTATGAAAGCAGAACATGAGGGAGGTTAAACTTGAATGTAATTGAAATAGAAACCTAAAGTGGTCCAAACCTCTGGGAGAGTCTTATCCCATCACCAGAATGCTCACCTTCTTTAGCTCTTTAACTGTTTTTTCTATTATTCTAACATAGATTGTCTCTCCAAAGTATGAAAGCAGACTTCTGGGCACCCCAAGTCTAACTTCTTCTAAAAACTTAGAATAGAACAAACAGGAAATGTTATTTGCATCAGGAAAACTAATTTGCCCGTTTGGGTCACAAGCAGTCTCAAGCAAAGTCTAGTGGGGCCATACCA